TGACTATTGTTCTTCATAAAACTAGTCTTGTGAGTAGCAAAGGCCGCCTTGCCTTTCTTGTGGGTATAGCCCAATCCCTCTTTGTAGAGAGATGCTCTTTGGCTACCCAAGCATATAAGCAAGCGGTCCTCACCACCATAGGCTTTGCCTAAGGCGAGAGTGAGCTCATTGACCTCCTTCTTTAAGGTCTCATTTTCAACCATAAGTGAGGCATCACAAGTGAAACCATCACTCATAGATAAAGTGGAAGTGGATGATGAGCTACATGAAGGGTTAGCGGGAGCAACAACAATAGGCTTATAGAAAGATTCATCAATTATGTCACATGTTAAGCCTACGTCACATGTTACTATCACTTTCTTATTTTGCTCAACAAGAGTGGAATAAGCCTTTTCAAGCTTCTTGTTAGCCTTGACAAGCTTTTCATGGGCTTCCTCTAGCCTCTCATAAGATGCATTGAGCTCATCAAAGGCTTGCTTAAGGGCGTTTAGTTCCTTATGCAAGTCTTTGCATTCCCTTCTCTTTATGTCAAAGTGAGTTTTAGCATCTTCAAGCATGTCAATTAGTTCATCTTTAATGGGTTCATCATCATCATCATCACTTTCACTTTCATTATCATGTTCCTCATCACATCCATCATCACAAGTTTGTACCTTAGTGGCCTTAGCCATGAAGCAAGTCGATGGAGTGTCGAAGAGAGAAGGCTTCTCATTTATAGCATTGCTTGCAAGAGCCTTCTTCTTGGTGGTCTTGTCATCATCACTATCATCATCATCACTTGAGGAAGCATCACTATCCCAAGTGACCACATATGAACCACCCTTCTTCTTCTTGAAGGTCATCTTGTCTTTTTTCTCCTTCTTCTCCTTCTTGTCCTTCTTCTTGCCCTTCTTGTCATCATCTTCATTCAACTATTGTAGGGGCATTGAGCAACAAGACGATCCTTACTACCACACTTGAAGCACCTTCTTGCCTCATCCTTGCTCTCGGATGAAGACTTCCTCCTTCTTGCACGATAGCCCTTCTACACCATGAATTTGCCAAACCTCTTCACAAAGAGAGCCATCTTCTCATCATCCATTTCATCAAAGCTTGAATCATCATCTTCACTTGATCTATCTTGCTTGGCCTTGCCCTTTGATGATGATGTGGCTTTGAATGTCACACTCTTCTTCTTCTTATCCTTCTTCTCATCTTTCTTCTCCTTCTTTTCTTCCTTCTCATCATCATCTCTGTATGTATCATCGGTCATCACATCTCCCAACACTTGATTTGGTGTCATGGTGTCTAAGTCACTCCTCACTAGAATAGTGACCAATGTGTCAAATCTCGATGGCAAGCATCTCAAGAACTTGTGGGAGAAGTCCTTATCCTTCACTTCTTCACCAAGTGCTTTGAGATCATTGACTAACACTTGGAGCCTATGAAACATCTCCTGCACACTCTCATCATCCTTCATCTTAAAGCTTGCAAACTTCTCCTTGAGGATATATGCCTTGGCACCCTTCACCACTTGTGTACCCTCAAATGATTCCTCCAACTTCTTCCATGCCTCATGAGCCATCTCAATGTTCTTGATTTGCTCAAATGTCCTCTCATCTAATGCATCATGAATGGCACTAAGAGCAATGTCATTGTTTTGGAGTAGCACCTCTTCGACCGCGGTGGGAGTCTAAAGATTGGCTATCTCAATCTTGGTCTCCACCACCTTCCGCACCTTTCTATTGATTGACTTGATGTATGTTGTTATCTTTGCCTTCTAATATGGATAATTTGATCCATCAAATTATGGTGGCTTCTTAGTGTTGTTGATTTGAGCCATTTTGACACCGAAGGTTGTTAAGCCTCAAACCACGGTGACCATGACTCTGATACCACTTGAAAGGTCTTAATTGCTAGAGGGTGTGAATAGCCTATTGAAAATTTCTACAACAACACTTAAGCCAAGATGTTAGACAATTAAACGATGAAGTGAGTGTTGTGCTAGCCTACTAAAAATACAAGCCACCTACCAACAATTCTAGTCGATATAGTCTCTATGTCACACACAAGGTTAGGTCACTACCACTAAGTTAGTCAGCTCTCAAAGACTAACTAAAGAGCATCACTAACCAAACTAGACAAGACACAAGCTAGCTTTCAAAACTAATTGCACTAAAGAGCTTACCTACACTAGGAATGTAAATACACAAGAGAGGTAGTGAGTTATACCGTCGTGGCAAGAGATGATCAATCAATCACAATGAATACCAATGAAATCCTAAAAGACAAGATGGGACAATGATTTTTCACCGAGGTTCACTTGCTTGCCGGTAAGCTAGTCCCCGTTGTGGCGATTCACTCACTTGAAGGTTAACGCGCTTATAGGCATCACACACCTAACCTGCAATCGGGTGACGCACAACCAACATAAGATGAGGATCCATAAGCCACGAGCAATCCACTAGAGTTCCTTTTGGCTCTCCGCCGGGGAAAGATCAAGAACCCCTCACAATCACCACGATTAGTGCCAGAGACAATCACCACCCTCCGCTCGACGATCCTTACTGCACCAAGCCATCTAGGTGGTGGCAACCACCAAGACAAACAAGCGAATCCCGTAGCGAAACACAATCACCAAGTGCCTCTAGATGTAATCACTCAAGTGATGCACTTGGATTCACTCCTAAGATCACAAAGATGATGAATCAATAATGGAGATGAGTGGGAGGGCTTTGGTTTAGCTCACTAGGTTGCTATGTCAATGAAAATGGTCAAGAGAGTGAGCAAGAGCCGGCCATGTGGCTTAAATACAAGCCCCCACGAAATAGAGCCGTTGGGCACAAGAGGGGCAGCTCTGCGTGCTGACCAGACGCACCGATCGGGTTGATCGGATGCACGCGCCCCAGCGTCCAGTCATGCATCTGCTGCCACATGTCCCACTCGTTCAACGTCGCGTGTTCGATTCCAACGGCTAGCTGCTGCGCACCAACAGTCAAGTCGTGACCGAACACACCAACACAGCGACCGGACATGACGCTCCAGCGTCCGCTCGCTCACATCCGCGCCCCCAACACGCCAAGACCGGACGCGTCACCAAGTTGACCTGACTCGCGCCCACACCGAGTCCGGTCACTTCCCGTAAGGTTCTAGAGCCGCAAATATGCGACCGGACGCGTCAGATCAGGCACGACCGGACGCACCCATGCGTTCGATCCTTTCCTCCTTCGCGACATCGCCTACGTTAGTGTACGTCAGCAGGGACCGGACTCACCCCCTGCGCGTCTAGTCCTTCCTCTTCTCCTGCGTCTGGTCGAAGGACTAAGGCCACGCCGCACTGTGCGCCACTGACCGAACACGCCTGCCTAAGTCCGGTCACTGCCTAGGCAGCGTCCGGTCAGCTCAAGGCACCACCTCCAAGTCTCAAACATCGCCACCCTTGATCAAATGTGTTAACCATCAAGTGTATCACCTTGTGCACGTGTGTTAGCATATCTTCACAAAAAAAATTTAAGAGTGTTAGCACTCACTAGAATCTAGATGCATATGCAATGGGTTAGAATATCTAGTGGCACTTTGATAACCGTATTTCGATACGAGTTTCACCCCTCTTAATAGTATGGCTACCTATCCTAAATGTGATCACACTCACTAAGTGTCTCAATCACAAAAACAAACGCTTCTATCAATTATACCTTTACCTTGAAATTTTTGTTTTTCTCTTTCTTCTTTTCTTAGTCCGAGCACTTCACCATGGCCATCACTACCTTCATGATTATCATCATTTGCACCACCACTTGGGATGTGCTACCCTATCTCATGATCACTTAGAGCAATGTGTTAGCACTTAGGGTTTCATCAATTCACCAAAACTAAACTAGAGCTTTCACCGGCAACTCAATCCAAACGGCGCTTAGGCTCAGATATAGGTTCGGATGGTGCATCGGATGATCCGAGATCATCCGATGCACCATCCGAACCTATATGCAAGCCTAAGCGCCGTTTGGATTGAGTTGCCGATCGACGTCGTCCATCATCTGCGTACCAATAAGATATGGAGACTATTTTTTATTTCTCTAAATATTGATCATTACAACATAAAGCTCACACACATATATAGTTCTTTCATAAGATCTCACATAACAAATGGACTAGAATTAGAATTTTGTTGATACTCAAAGGTGTTCAAAGTGCATAATGGATTCCGCCATCATTTTCTATCGCCGAGACAGTCAGAAAACATAATCGTATCATTTAGAGCCCAGACGAAGAATACAGCTGGGGAGGAGAGTCCGGAGAACAGTGAAAAGGAAGAAGAACAGTAAAAACTGATAGACAATGACAGTGTTACAAATAGTATAGGAACAGTGACAAACAGCGATACAAACAGTGCATTAACGTGAAAAGATCTGACTTTGGCTTGAATTTGTTGTCGACGATCTGGTGGAAATATGGTATATAGAGCAAATTTTACAAATTCCTTAAGCTTTCACATAAAAGGTAACAACAAATTCTTACCACATCCCATAAGTTCATATAACATTGCTATGTATGAACTGGGAAAACAAAATTCATTGTTCAAATAAAATGTAGACAAATACAGTCTAGGCTAGTGTCGAAATAGTTACACTTGTTTAGAATCCTGATCTAGGTGTCCCATATATCAGTGTGTAGTAGTAAACAGCACCACTACGTTACATTGCATTGTGCAGGCCAAATCGCCTTCTGGCTCTAAAAATCATACCTTGCCTGCAAACAATGAAGCATAGTAAACCCAGGGAACATATATTTGGCAATGTCTTTATAAACAGAAGTGTCAATATCTCTCTCCAACAACATATACGATGCACATTTTTGGCAAATTATACATTTATGCTCTAACTGCTCTATCATTCCATGAAGATACATGTTGGAAGCAATAAAAGCCAGGTGCACAAAAAAGTTGAGCAAGGAGTACATAATAATGTGATGAAATATGTGCACCAAAATCCGTGCATAGCATAGTTGACCTTTGCTTCATGTTAGAGCACATCACCTGTATAGCTGTATGAACATTCCCCTATGAGGATACAGAATGCAGTATAAAAATAAGGGTAGTAAATAAAGACTAAAAACAGCTGCAGGGATGATCTCGATAAGCAGGTTTTGAAGGCAAATTTGCAAAGCATTGTGGAACAACCTCTATATATAGCTAAATACATCAGCTGTATGTTGTAGGAATAAGACAAATTTGTACCTTCCAGGCCACAAATCTCAGAAGGGCTCGCCAAAGCACAGCAACCATGATTATTCACTAACCACTGAAGCACAAGATCTGCAAAACAGAGAGCCGCACATATTTAGCATCAAATGAAAATTTGAGGGAAAAAGATCTATGTTTCCTATCTGCAGGTAAGGAGGTTGAATCCTTTTTTTCTACTGTCACCCTTACTCCTATTCTTTGTTAGCACATCACTGAGCCAAGCAACGAATCAAAACAATGCAAATTTTCTAAAAAGATCTAAACTACAGGTATCATCCCAAAAATGGCAGGTTTGGTACATACCGATTGATATATAGAGTAAAGTTGCATGGAGCTCAAACAATTTAGTTAAATGATGGTGAAACTCAACAGATGTTATGCATGATGGAAGCAACAGTGGTAAGTGATATCAAATAATCAGGTGGTCAGTTTCACTCAGACGGACCAAATTAGAGTCCTAATCAAGCAAAAGGTGCCTGAGGTCACCTAGCTAGGGGCTAGGGATGTAGGCACATTAGTGAATACGGGCGTAATCTATACTCATACACAAAAGGAAGTGGAACAATCAAAATCTTACGACATAAAGCAAAACAAACAAAACATAAAGAATAGAAGGAAAAAAAACATAGATCAATAGGACGATTTCCACTTTGAGAGAGGACACTATAATTCACATTTCACTATATGAAAGAGAGAGGAGCAAGAAGATACATTTTGGACTTATTATGGATGGAATATTATAAATGATGTAATATTTACATCTTTCGTTTGGGTAAAGCAAATTAACCTCTCAGCAGTGTCAAAATGAAATGGTGAGGTCAAAAGGAAATCAAGTACCACCTTTTAGGAGGGCACAACAGACGAACAATTTTAAAGTTGATACGTTTTTCTTGTGTTAAGGAGAGTACACTAAGATTTCGATGAACACAGGATAACCTCTTTTTTGTTTTTTAGAACTCAATGATAGCTGCAGAATTAGGATGTGCTAGTATGAACGAAATTGATTTTGCAGAGAATACACAAACTAAATTTGGGAAGGAATATCAGGGATAAATTTATCACCAGTTCCAAAAGGCAAATGTTTGAAGGGCGGGCCTGGTGCAAGCGGTAGAGTCTTACCGCCTGTGACCGGAAGGTCCCGGGTTCGAGTCGCGGTCTCATCGCATTGCACAGGCGAGAGTAAGGCTTGCCACTGACACCCTTCCCCAGACCCCGCACAGAGCGGGAGCTCTCTGCACTGGGTACGCCCTTTTTACAAAAGGCAAATGTTTGGGTGATCTTGAAGTATTTAACAGCACAGTAACAATGGTAACCTTGAAGTACTTGATCTGTTGAACTAACTAACATGGCATTAGCTAAGCATTCCAAAATGGTCCCAGTCCGAAGCTAGCACCAAAATTGGTATGCAAACTGGATCAAACAATGTGGTCAAAAACATGGATTTAATCATTAACTGAATTGACAATTCCAGATTTCTGTTAACTAATTCATGCAAGAACTTGCATGTGATGAAAAAAGCAAAAGAAAAAGTATAATCACCAATGCTGAGCTCTGCATTTTTTGAACAATGGGACAGTATATTTAAGGCAAACTATTGAGTACCGAAAGGAAAAGGTTCCTCAGTTTGAAGTTGAAAACACATCAGTAGGAGGAAAAACATATATGTAATTAACTGAAATCAGCCATCAACTGCGAACGAGCCAGTGGCTCAGTGGTAGTACTCGCAGTGGCGAGTCTACCCGCCAGTGTTCGATCCCCGGCGATCGCAACGCTGGTGTCGCACCCAGGTGTCTGCTGTGCAGCACCCAGACGTCTGCCTCTCACGCGTGATGCCACAATGGGATCGTGACATGCCTGTCGCCTACGAAATCGGTGGATTTCGGTGATCTCAAGAAGGACGCGGTCTTCAGATCCAAGTATAGTTATGGGTTTGTTTGTACACGGGTGGTGTGAGTAGTGTGCGTGTGTAGAGTGGGCGTGCGTGTGTACGAACAGATGCTACAGCTGTACCCAGATGAGAGGCAATAAAAAATCAGCCATCAACTGAAAAAATGTTCTTTTGTGGTGGGGCCCAATCAAAAAAAGGAGGACAACATCCATGTTAGTTACTATTACCGGCAACCAACACCTAATAAGCAATAGGCGGATGGGTTCTCATAGAAATATATATTGTTGTCCTTGAGAACTCTATCGTAAACTATCGTAGTAATCTGATAGGTCCTGTAATACCAAATTTCCTGAATCTCCTTGCACATTTAGTAAACTGCAGTAGTAAATCATGAGACAAAATGAATGTAGAAATTAAAGACAATAAATTTGAGTACCTCAGAGGTGGTGCTCATCAGTGCCCACTACTACTCCCATTGCGCACCAGGAGGTGGTCCATGAGATCCAAGAAGACGCACCCTAGGAGGAAGCGAAGCAATCTGAACCAATCCCAAAGAAGAAAAAACAAACCAGTTGAAAAGAATCAGCAAGCAGCCAAGCATCTAACCAATTTGAAGTAACATAACATGCATCTCCCGACACAGATTTGCAGGATGTAGTTTTACCAATGCCATGGACACTCACGGGGCCGAAGAGCAAAGGAGCCGGCGACGTGGGGGCGGTCTGGGAGTAGCGCCAGGCCCTTTGCCTGGCGGAGGTCGCCGGGCGGCACGTCGTCATCGGGGCGGCGGAGGCCGGGCAGTGGGCGGCGTGTTCGGGGCAGCACATCGGGTGTCGGCTCCGAGATGGAGTGGAGAAGGCGAGGGAAAGGGTGAGGACGGGGAGCGGCGGTGGCAGAGGGCAGAGGCGACGGAGCGCTCCAGGTCGAGGCTGAGGAGATGCCGAGGAGGAAAGGGCGATGATGCGGTAGCCTTTTAGCTATGTGCCACTATGAAACATGATTCAGATATATATCCACTAAAATAATTCGAACGTACTCGGATGCTATGACATTAAACTTTTTTTTTCTTTCACGTTATTCCATCCATCTTCTGTTTTTTCCGTTTACCTACTTTGACCTGTGGGCCCAGATAGTGAAAGTGTCCAAAATACCCTTCTCTCGTACTCTTATCATCTTCTTTCTCTCTCTCCGAATGGTGGAACCAAGCTGTCGGCGTCTTTGGCATGCGGTAGGCAAATAGGGTCGGGCCATAGGAGCGGAGGCGCGGCGGGGTGCCCGCAGCGGCCATGCAGCGGATGACGGAGAAGCCCATGGCGGGGTCACGGGTGGCGAGGCGCGCGACACTGGTGAGGGTGGACGCGGTCGCCCGCGCGCCGTCGCGGTGGCCGAAGTGGAGCTTGCCCGTCCCGCGATGGCGGGGCAGCTCGCCCGCGTGGCGGTCGCGGTGGCCGGGGGGAGCTCGCCGTGCGCCGTCGCGGTGGCCAAGGGAGCTCGCCACGTGGCAGGGCGGTGCCCGGGATGGAGCTCCCGTGCACGCCCGCGGTGGCCGGGGGGAGCCCGTGCGCGCGCCGGTGGCGGTTGCGGGGGCGGAGCTCGCCGCGCGGTTGCTCCAGGCGCTGCTGCTGTAGGCGGTTGTGCTCGCCGCGGCCGTCATGGTTTGCTGCGGGTTGCCGTGCGCGTCGGCGTCAATGGCAACGCCCACGTTCGCGAGCAGGGAACGAGCAAGGCCAGAGAGAGCCAGAGGGAGGGCGAGCAGAGCTCGGCGCACCGTCTCAAGAAGCCCGCACCGCTGGTTTCGCCTGACGTGCCCCCCGTGCTCTTGGGGCCGGCCGTGCCCCGCCTGGGGCTGGCCGCGCCGCGCCGTCGCGTCCTGCTAGCCGCACGCCTGCTGGCCACCGCCTGCGAGCTCGCTGCGCTTACCATGGTAGCCCAGCTTGACGGGGTGCCACGCGGCCTCTAATCCAGCATGCAGGGTGGCGGCGGACGCACGGCAGGGAGGCATGCAAAGTCGCGACCCATGCAAGCTGTCCCCGATCGGATAGAGGAGAGAGAAAAAATAAAATAAGTGAGGAAAAAAAGAAAAGGATTAAAAGAAAAGAAAAAAATAAATCCCGAAGGGTATTTTAGACTTTTTGCACCGTAGATTGACACCATTACCAGCGAAAGTGAACGAAATTGCGTGGAAGATAAAAGTTTAGCATCGTAACGACAAAATACGTTCAAACTTTTAAATGACCTATAAGTCAGGACTATCTTTCTTAGTGCCACACGGGTAAAAGGCTCGTCAAGCAGAAGCCATCGATTCGATGACGGCAAACCGGAGGGGCCCGCCTTGAATTGGCCCAGGCCATCGGCGCGCAGCAGGAGGACCGCACTGACCGTTGTAATAACCCTTTTCTTTTCTGCGTCGTTGATCTCTGCATCATAATAAAGAGCGGCGGAACAGTAGCAGATGGCCTGGCTGAAAACCAAATAACTTGTGGTTGACGGATAATATCTTATTCACTAACGCAACACTCAAACAGAGACGTTAGAACATCAGGATCCCCACATTGGGGTCCTTTCTATAAAGTTCATCACAGTACGATTTAATAAGACTTTCCATACCTTGCTGGTAGGGATAAAAACGGTACGGATATTTTCCAACCGTATTCGAAACCGAATCCATTTAGAGGGGTTGAGATCTGTCTGTATCCGAGTTCGGATATCCAACATCCGATACCGTATCCGTATCCGAATACTCAAATCACATATTTATGATGTCGATATCCAATTGTATCCATAGTTAACACTATCCGTATTTGAATCCAAATCCGGACATAAATATAAAAACAAATATAATATCAGTGATATTCGTCCGTATCCGATCCGTTTTCATCGTGCTCGCTAGTCATGGCACCAAACGTCATCCGTACTTGAGTCTGTTTGGAATCATTATTAGCACCGAAAATCAGCTAGCTAATATTTAATAGCTAATACCTGCAACTTTTAGATAGTAGAGAGCGTTTGGATCCACCTGCTAATAGGTGGTTGAATAGTGAGTTAAAGATGTATATAAACTATTAGCATATATTAGAGCAACTCTGAGAGACTCCGTATCTTTCCTAATTTCTAGCAATAGAGATTTTGATGAAAAAATACCTTCCAACAACTTCTTTATTTGGTTATCCAAATTAGCCATCTTCTATTCTGGATTTTACTCACCAGCCAAAGATAGAAAACAAGAATGATTCTAGGGTATACACAAGATATAGAAAAACTATTGGAGAACGAAAAAAATATAAAAATCTATTTTTATGCAAATGACTCTAAATGACAATTTAGAGAATGAGTTTTAGAAAAACTCTTGGAGATGCTGTTAGCAACTCCAAATCTACTAATGAAACTAAGGGGTGTTTGGCATGGCTCGAGCAACTCCCAGAACTCCACCAATTTTCGACCAAACACCCCAACTGATGTTTTCCAGAAAACTGGAGGTGGAGTTTTGGAGCATCTTTGCAGCTCTGACTCCACCTAGAGCAACTCCAACCTGGAGTTCTGGTACTAATTGAAATGCCAAACTAATAGTTAGCAACCCTCTAAATAATAATTAGCAGTTTTATTAGCAGATCTATCTATAGCTGCTAATGTTTAGTATTAATGGATTCTAATAGACCCTTAGCTTATGGATATTATTTTTCTTAGCACGCAAAAAGCACCGTTGATGAAAATCCTTTCAGCGTGTTCGTTGGTTAGTGCCGGTGCTGGTTTGGGCTGGCTGGTACTGGTTTTTTATGAGAGAAAAATACTGTTGGCTGATTGAATAAGCCTGGCTGAAATCAATAAGCGAACATGGTGTTTATGATTTGATCTCCCTCCTTGAGCCAAGAGACTTTGGATCGCTGCAGCCACAACATCTCTTCACGATAGAGCAGTTCATTCATTTGCCTTGTCACTTCTCTAACAGCAACATCATCTGCACCAGCTTCCTGTAGTGTAGCAAGATTATTTCGTAGCATCTCCAGGTCTTTCTGCAATGATCCAGAATTTTCAGAACTCCACCGTTTTCGGGGCGCAGGGCCTTGCTTATTGTCCCTAGATAGCGGATGTATTAGGTAGCGCTAGAGATGCTTTTAGCGGCTTTGACCGCGTGGTTTGCATCCCTAAATAGGACCTATATCACGGTTTGACCTACAAACTGACCTGCTTGCAAGGCAGACTACCTCTCAGCCCCTCCTCTAGCTACCGAGGCCTCGCCGGGGGTGGAGGCTAATGGTGGGCATCGGGCAAACAGTGGCCTCGTTGGGGTGAGAGAAGGTGAGTTGATCAGATTTGCACAGATGTGGTGGAGAAACAGAAACAACAATAGCGTAGGAGCTCTCTCTAGAGCCCCGTAATCAGGGATGAGGGAGAGATTTAAGGGGTCCTCAAATTTAAGGTCCCTACGAGCATATCTCCGATAGTTTTGTAAAACAACCCCTTATTTTGATATATTAGTAAAATAGAAAAAATGTCCTTCAACAATTTGATAAAAATGGCTCTTTAAAAATAAAAAGTTGTCAAATATCCCTTTTTAACTTATAAGTTTCCGCAATCGGTAGAAACTCGGTATTCACTCCTGGTTGGACGTTTTTGCTCGAAAGATCAGAATAAATTAGACGCACGCGTATATTAAGAAAATAAAAAGTTCTAGATGAGAAAGTGGTAAAAAATAAAGAAACTATTTAAAAAAGGTTTGATCAGTTAGAAACAGTTCGGAGTTCGCAGTACAAATTGTTTAAGAACTATTACATGAGATTGTTGGAAAGGATAAAATTTAAGGTTGCTATTTATTGAGTCTGTCTACTACACAACCATGTGTTTTATGCAATTTCAACACATGAATTTTTTTCACCATAAGATTAAGATCCAACAGCCTCTACCCTTCTTCTACCTCCAGTTTTCTTCTACCTTCAGACAATCACAAAATCACAGATCCACAAATCACAGATCACAGGAAACAATTTTTTTCTATGAAAAGACAAATCACAGATCCACCGCCGCCACCGCCGTAGGTCTGGGCCCGCCTTGACCAGCCACTACCACATCGCGTTCGCGTCCCCTCTCTCTCTGGGCCTCACCTGACACGACCACGCGCGCGTACCTGGAAGGCCGCCCCGCCCAGAACACGGCTTGGCAGATCTGACGGACACAGACAAACCGAGGCAACGATCCGGTAGACTAAAAATCAATGTGTTTTTTTTGTGCTAAAACACACGTATATTGTATAGCATTTCTGTATTTATTTTGTTAACTTGCATAATCTATTAGTGTAGTATATGTAAATTATACTAAACTTTTGGAGATGCTCTCAGTAGAAATTTTGCTAGAGTTGATTTTTTTGCATTGATCGTTTAGGAAACTATTACATGAGATGGTTGGAGAAGGACAAAATTTAAGGTTGCTATTTATTTTGTTAACCTGCAAGATTTATTAGTTTAGTATGTAAACTTTTCTAGAGGTGCTCTTAGTAGAAATTTTGCTCATCTTAAGACATGCAAATAGTAAATAAATAGTCAATCTTGTTTCTTCCCCCAAAAAGCATCGTTGAGGAATATTCCGCAATCCACATCCCCTCCTCCCCGGCGAACCGCAATGAGGTCTCCAACCGCCGTCGCTGGCTCCGCCGCAGATTTTTCTGACGCTCTGCCCTCCCCGACCTCCCCTGCAGCGGTCCCATGCCATTCCAGGTGAGGGAGCTGCACCTGTCGCTTCCTCGATTCAATCGTGCGCCCCGTTTTATATATATGTAACTGACCTTCCTGGCATGCCCTTTGTCCGCAGCCCCGGCCGCCACTACTACCTCGCCGTCGACCGCACCCAGTTCAAGATGGTGCGTATCTATTTTCCCCGCCCCCTTCGCTCCGTTTGCAGTTGCGGCAGTGCACTTGGATTTCATCTCTCCGATACTAATTGAGTGATTGTGCGTAGTTTTGCGATACCACTGTTTGGTTAGTCTCGATTCATGATGATTTATGCTAATTGAGTGATTGTGCGCAGAGGACACTCTTGGAGCTCCTGGGGGTTGTCGCGGATCGCCGCGGTGGGCTGCCGATTGCAACATGTGTTTCCTCCCGTGATGAGCTTGATGCCGTCTATGCTGCCGTCGCCAACCTCTCCTTTGTGTCAATGTCACCGCTGGTAATTCACAAACACAATTTCACCACCTAGTTGTAACGAGCTCTAGTATTTCCTTTTGTTCATTTTTCTCTGAAATTCTTGGTGGCTTGGAAGTAATATGCCTCATCCAGCATATTTTCTCTGAAAATTTATGATGTTTACCAGCATAAATATTGTTGTGTGCCCTGAAATTGTTGCACAAGGTCTGAAAGGTTTATGATCCTCGCTATTAGGAGGCTTTTACTTCACATCAACATCAACATATTACTAATGGGTCTTCTATGTACAGTATAGTGATCAAGCTGAAGCAGAGCGTGCATCTGTTCTTGAGAAGTTTCGTCAAGAAACAATCCAGTGGAATCAAACTACTAAAGCTACCAATATTGCTGAAAGTTCTAGGCTTGAAAGTACTGGCTCAAAACTAAGCATTGTAGTCGCAACAGATGCTTGCTTGCCTCAGGCAGCGATGGCAGAGGCACCCCTTATGGCACGGGTGCTGATAAACTATGAGCTTCCCACAAAGAAGGTGAGCTTTACCCACATTTTTGTGCATATTTGTTCCTTTTACTCCATTTGCTACACAAACCATGAACCTTTGTATGCTCTTTTGCTTTATATGTATATATTTTTCTGTTACGCAGTTTCACTGGCTCTCCCAGTTCTACTTTTCTGATGTCTCATGTGACCTGAAGATTAACTCTGAGTTTTGCAGGAAGCTTACTTAAGACGCATGTCAACATGTTTGGCAGCAGGTATATTAAGATAATAGTGATTCAATTCACATCTTATGCTCCTTGATGTAGCTGATGGCCTTTGAATGGTGCAGATGGAATTGTGATTAACATGGTCGTTGGTGGCGAGGTGGCTACACTCAAGGCTTTAGAAGAGAACAGTGGTCTGCTCATTGCCGAGATGCCAATACATGTAAGATATACACCATTATTTATTTTACTATCATCTAGTATTCTCTTAAGATCTAAACTTAAATATTTGCTATGCAGGTTTCAGAGATATTATGATAGTCCCAATTGTACAAAATTTCAGAAGTTACTGTTCTATTTCCACAATAACTACTCATGGTTTTACTTCTACTACTTTGATTTTGGATTGCTTTTCATGATACAGATATCTCTAAAGAATTCTCTCTAAGAAATGGTAGAAATAGGAATGGTTCAACATCCAGTGACATGATTCTTTACTCTGTGCATCGTTTCTATACTTACCGTTAGTTCTTACGAGATCAGTGGCAGAATCACAAAGAAATATTCAATTGCCACAGAAATATTGCTATTGATTGCTCTAGCGTATAGTCCAAGTAGTTCAATCTATGGTAAATAAACTGGTGTTTTGACTAGTTGTCTAGTGAACATTTTGTGCTCTGTGTTGTACCCAACTTCCACTTTGCAGTTACAGAATTGTGTGAAAAAATAATGCAAAAAAGGAAAAAGAAATCACATGATTGTAGTATTGGAAAAATACAGAAAGTGATAGTGATATTCACATGAAGTCCGCAACATCTTGCCATACAGACATAAGGAAATCTGCACTTTTTGTAGACTGCACAATTGTACTGTCACCATGCCTTACATCTAGAGAAAGAATAACAATGCAATTATGCTAAATAGTTTTGCTAAACAATGGGATTGCCTCTGGTTCTACTGTCTAGTTAGCACCATCTAACTTGCTCATTGTGCAGTCTTATCAAATAGGAAATTGTTTCCACTTTGAAATAAGCATACCCCTAAAGTTCACGAAAGTGTTGGTCCGATTGGATCTCAGATTCAGATCTGGAACTACCAGAGGGCAGCTTGGCCCTTGGCCGTTTGGATTGAATGAAAATGCAATGACCTATTTTTACAATGACACTCCCTTGCCCTTTATAGGCAAATGGGACTTTCACTTGCTACAACATATTCCAACCAATAAAGTGGATGCTGAGCATATTCCTAACACTAGGCTTTGAAGCCAAGAAAAGTAAAAAGTGTAGGAAAAATAAGATACAAGTGCTTTAGCACTATGCTTATCTATCAGAAAGAGCATGACATTTGATTTATCTTGTGTTTCAACTAATCCAAAGACCTGACCAAAAAGATCCAGCAGCTTGATGAGGTTAAGATCATTAGTGTTTGGCCAACAAAACATGACAACATCATCAGCATAGACATAGATACGGTGCTGCACACGCTCCATTGCAAGAGGTTGCAGAAATCCCAACTGAGTGGCCCAGCAAATGAGTGAAATAACCAATATAAACAGCATCGGAGACAAAGATCCCCTAGACGAAGCCCTCGTCACGGACAATGTTAGGACCTGGATCCCCATTGACCAAGATCTGAGTGGGGGCTGTTGACAGTAGAAGGCAAAGAAGATTGCACCAACGAAGGCCGAAGCCCAGATGAGATAAAACCTCCAAGAGAAAGGGCCAAGCCACCGAATCAAAAGCCTTTGAGATGTCCAACTTAAGGAGAACGTGAGCCTCTTTCTTACTATGCAAACCTTTGGCCATCTGTTGGACACAAAAAGATAATTATCATGAATATTCCAACCTTTGGCAAAAGTACTTTGGCTGATAGAAACCGGATTGGGCAAAACAGGAGCAAGACGATTAGCCATTGCCTTAGCCACCAGTTTGGCGAAACTGTGGATGAGACTTATTGGCCTAAAATCCTTCACTTGTGTGGCATCAGCCTTGTTAGGCAAGAGGGTGATGAATGCTGTATTGAGGAGCCTGAACTTAAAATGGAACCCTTGCTGAATTTCTAGAATGGCAGCCATTATATCACCTTCTATGAAGTTCCAACCAGATTTATAGAATCGACCCGTGAACTCATCCAGTCCTGGAGCTTTATCTAGTGGCAGATCTCTTATTGTTGCCCATGTCTCCTCTTCAGAGAAATCCTCCTCACCGCCCATATCTCCTCTTGAGAGAAATCCTCCTCCAAGTGAGATAAATCATGATGCGGATTATGGAAGCTAGGTAGATCAAACGTGACCTCTCTGTCATGAGGTGGACCAAGGAGATTTTCATAGATTCTGAAACAAGCTCCTGTTTCTGGCTTGGTCAGAAATGACCCGGTCACCCACCAACAGCTTTCCAATAAAATTCTTCTTTTTTCTATACCGAGAGTGCTGGTGAAAAAAAGAAAGTATTTGCATCACCCGCTCTCAGGTAACTGATCCGTGATCTCAAGCGAGTAATGGTTCTCTCGAGTGATGCCAAACCAAGGCAATGGAGGTTAAGCTTTTTCCGCAGCCAATCCTCACCATTGTTGAGAGGTCTGGAGTCTCTAGCCACTTCAAGCCGGTAATTAATTTCTTTAGCAATTTGTACCTGCAGTTTTATATTTCCAATCCTCCTATGACTCCATTTTTTAAGACCCTTGCTTAATCGTTTCAGCTTCAGGAACACGCTCAACTGGGCATGAGCTGATCACAGGAGCACACCAATTTTGCTGCACAGCTTCCTGAAAACCCTGTAATTTGGGCCAAAAACTCTCAAGTTAGCCACACGTCCTAAATTTCACCCGAAACACTTCTCTTATTGCAATATAATACCCCATAGCCATAAAGTGACTATAAAATTCGAGAACAGTGCTAGGAAGGTCTAGAGGCAAAGTGGAAGTAACAATGAGTTAGAACAACGCTTAAGGGCTAAGGTGCAGAAGTTACACAACAAAGTTCGGAGGTTTGCTCAAGCCCGTAAGTTTCGCACAAATGTCCATAAGTTATGCACTCAAGTCCATAAGTTTCACACTCAACTCCGTAAGTTACGCACCAAATAGAAATAAAAAACAAGGGCGAAAAATCCAAATCTTGATCAAAGGACCGCCAAAAATCTTGAAATTTCCGCACACCTTTTTTAACCCCATGGTGAAGATATTTGTCACAGAACCGACCAATTTATAAGAGTATGTGGGGGTATTAACCCCTATACCCTTACGGCTAAGTTTGGGCCGGTCCGGACCAGGGGGTCCGGCCCACCAGAAGACGACGCGCGATCCAGCCGATCTGCTCGGAGTCCCGCGCAAGGAATCAAGGCAGACTTGAAGATCAAGCAAGATCCTGGTCGGTTAGAATATGAATCCTTATCCGGCCACCTATGGCAATAGTAACCGGTTGGGATTAGTTTCCAGATCTGTAACCCTGCCCCCAGACTATATAAGGCGGGCAGGGGACCCCTCTCAGAAATCATCTCATTTACATACAGCAATACAATCAGACGCAAGACGTAGGTATTACGCCCTCACGGCGGCCGAACCTGGATAAAACCTCGTGTCTGTCCTGCGTCACCATCTCGTTCGTAGCTTGCGCACCTGTTTGCTGATAATCTACTACCTTGGGCATACCCCTAGGTAGACTGTCGACCATATTTCGTCGACAGTGGCGCGCCAGGTAGGGGGTGTGCGTACTGCTCCCCAGAAGAACAAGATGGTCATCATCCCCGGCTCCATGGCTACGCCGAACTGCCTCACGTTCACCATCGGCCAGATCACCTGGACCACTTGCTCCGACAACTTCATCGCCATGACCACGGAGGAGGCGCAGATCCAATCTGCGCCGACCACTGCTTCACCAGCATCGGCTACGGCTCCGACCACGTTGGATCTGGCTCCGGCCACACCAGCATCGTCTTCAGCCACACCGACAACCCGTCGTTCGCTTCCTCGCTACAAAGGGAGGCAGATCGACAACACCGACCTGCTCGACTCCATCGATCAGGTCGGGCACCAAGCTTGCTGAAACCCTAGCTCTGATAGATTCGATTCAAAATCAACCTTCCGAGCAGGTAACCACTACCCACAACAGATCTACCCGACCAGCTTGGGCCGGTCGTCCTGCAAGACTCGGTACGGATCTCGTGGTCACGTCTACTCCTGAAGGGCGCTCCGTTCGTCGCCGACCAGCCCCCGCAACGGGTCTCTGGCTCTCCGAGTGCGAAGCCTTGATGGAGAATTACCAGGCCCAGCCCTACGGCCTACGAAACACTGCTTCCAACTACGCATACAATATACAACGCTGCTTGGATCTGTGTTTTATACATCGACCTCGGCCAAAGCCACGCAACTTCATCGACATGGTTTGGATTGAGGAGTATCAAGAAGGATCGGTCCACACAGTTCAAGAGGACGGCTCAAGCTCCCCGTCCAGCATCGCATCTAATGGCTCCATCCACACCGAGCTTCAGCTTCGTGACAATGAAGAAGTTGAATACGATCTAGATATCCCAGACCACCCCCCGGAGTTCCCACGATTCCCATCCTTCCCATCGAGGCGAGGAGACTTGATCAATGTCGTCAGTAATGACGAACCCCCGGTAGTTGGCGAAACAGAATAAGAAAGGCTAGCACGCAAAGCACGCAATATTGACCGGTTTAATCGTAGATAAGCCGAAGCCGAGGCAGAAGAGGAGGCACGATGCATAAGGCTCTAGCCACGCGATCTTAACAATGCCTTTGATAGGGTAGGGGAAAAGCAGGTCTTCAGGACTCCAAGCGCCAACGTAGCTGTTGCTATGGCGACAATGCAACGACTACCCAATACCCCGGAAATCTAGGCAATTCGTGATGATATGCAAGCCTACCTGACGGCTGCTATGGCCCAGACCGCAGAGATTGCAAACCAAGCCTGGGCTCCGTCCGTCTCAGTCGAATCAAGCCACAGTCATCAGTACTCAAGTCGCCCACAGCCACCCAACCAACGTGGCTCGCGCAACAACGACCTATCAGACAACCGTCAAGGCGGAAACGGTGGTCATGATGGTGGTCGGGACGACAACCGCCGCGACTACCGGGACGACAACCGCCGCAACAACCGGGACGATAATCGACGAGACAACCTCTACAATCGCCGTGATAACCGCGGTCGCGGGGTCAACCAGGGTGGCAATCGGGATCGCCGTGATGGCAATAACGATCTCTGCCATTCCTTCGGAGAACGCGATCTGCGCGATCGCATTAACCAAAGAGCCAACGATCGTGCATCCCACGAAAGCTATCGCCGTATGGAATATGATACAACC